GCGTCTTGTTTTTATTGATGACCGGTCAAATGCCCAGTCAAGAGCAGGTCTCTCACATTTCAGAAGAGTTAGTTTCTCGGGCTTCCTTGCCAACACATGTTGTTAAAATGCTTAAAATGTTCCCCGACACCTTGCATCCAATGGCCCAACTAGCTGCAGCGACTGCCGCATTAAACTCTGAATCTAAGTTCGTGAAGGCATACAACAGTGGCGTCGGGAAGGCAACTTACTGGAAGGTTTGTCTTGACCCCTTTATGGATTAATTTTGTCATCGCTTTCCGGCTTACCATCTGTCCATATTACCTCGTTATTTCTCTCTCAGTACGTTTACGAAGACTGCATGGATCTTATCGCAAAACTGCCAATCGTTGCTGCAACCATCTATAATAATACTTTTCGTGGTGGAGCAAAGATAGCCCCTCTGGACCCAAAAGCGGATTGGTCTCTTAACTTTGCTCGCATGTTGGGATTCAACGATCCTCTCTTTACTGAGCTTCTGCGCCTCTACTTAGTAATCCATAGTGATCATGAGGTAAGGACGGGTTCACCTGTCAATGATAGTGTTTTATCACACTTTTTGCCAAGAGCCTGTGTTATTTATGCATATCATCGTATATACTTGTCTCTCACACATCGACCGAACCTAAACCTAAGTCTTGACTGTTGATTTTCTGAACCTCTTTTTAGGGTGGAAACGTTAGCGCCCACACATGTCACTTAGTTGGAAGTGCCCTCTCTGACCCCTATCTAAGCTTTTCGGCCTCAATGTGTGGTCTCGCCGGTCCCCTACACGGTCTTGCTAATCAGGAGGTTCTTACCTGGATCATGGATTTAATTGCTGCCAAAGGAAAGTCACCAACTGACGAGCAAGTAGTCGAATTTCTCAAGGAAACCCTCGCTCGTGGGAAGGTGAGTGATTTGTTCTGTTGCTCCTAAGTTGTCCAAGTGCTCCTCAAGTACTTTTAAACCCTCATGTCTGGCCTTAACTCTCTACCCAAACCAACGACGGCTATGCATACTAGTACCGTCGTTTCTCTAGCCGAAATTCGAAAAACACGGTCATGGGGTCTATCCACTATTGCCGTCTGACTACGTCTCTGATGACGAATCCGCGACGGATGTCGAAACGTCAGACGAATAAAAGTATTGTCCC